ATTCCTTTGTGAAGCTAGAGATGTCAAACAGCAGGTAAGCAGATATACTTACTTGGTCAATACTGGCTACTATCACCTTCCCATGCGAAGCTGGAGATGTCAGTGAACAGTTAACCAAAATATACTTAGCGCCTATTGGTTATCATCATCTTCTCGTTGGGAAGCTAGAGTTGTCAATCAACAGTTAAGTAAAATAAACTTACTTGGTCACTATTGTCTACTTATAACATTCCTTTACAAAGCTAGAGATATCAATCAACAGCTAACAGAAATATACTTACTTAGCAACTATTAGTTATCATCACCTTATCTTTGGGAATCTCGAGTTGTCAATCAATAGTTAAGCAAAATATGTTTACTTGGTCACTACTAGATACTATCACTTTCACTTGCGAATTTAGAAATATCAGTGGGCAGTTAAGCAAAATTTACGTAAGTGATCAATATTGGCTGTTATCACCTGAAAATGGTCAAATTTCTAAGACTAACAATGTGTTTTCAGGATACAATTTCTTCTATTTAACCCGTATCCGGTCAGTGGATATTTGCGCATGCCTTGTAGCATTACGTTAGGTTGCATATGAGAGAGGAGTCAGGTATTTGTGTTTCTTCTTTAGTATGAATTTTCGTGCTTAAGATTTAATCTTTGCCAGAATTTTTATTTTTTATATATTTTACGCATGAATATCGTGCAATGTTTCTCATTATTGAAATTATTCACTGATATGATTATAAAAACAAACAAAAAAAACCCCCAAAAAACTTATTCATTTAACTGTTAATATTTTTTTTAAACAAATCACCCCATGTAAGGTAGGAGTGTCACTAGAAGGCACGGGGTTACAGAGAGTGAGAGTAAGAATAAAGAGGAGAGTTTGAAAAGACGAGAAAGAGAAAGAGAGGCATCAAAGTCAAGACATCAGAAGATATCGATTGACATTTGAATATTTGAAGATTATATCTATCAGGAAAGCAAGTGATAGGAACGGAGTTCCACTGAGCGGAAGTGCGAGATGATAAGCTGTTGGAGTAGAAGAGGCAGTTACATTTAACTGTTTTCAACAGTGAAAGGGTAGGACCGAGATGCCAACCTAGTAGCACCCTTAAATTCATGCAGTTTGGGAACCAGTGAAAGTAGCTCGTCGGAGCAGTTGATATGAAATACTTGTAGAAAAGACAGAGAGAAGCCACAGCACGTCTGTGAGAATAGTGACTGCAGACGGGATGCCAGATCAGGACCAATCACGTTATGTTTTTTTTCGCTACAATAATAACCATGTTTCAAAAGCACGCACCCGACATCGTCGATGCTATGGTTGGTTGAAGGGTACAGAAACAGGATAAATTGTTGTTGTTGATCCTGATGATCTTCTTTTGGTTTCTCCAATATAATTCCCCTTCCCGCATTTGTGACAGAAAAGTAAATATAAGAGATTGGAACTGTCACAGCTTAGAGCAGATGGTTTGAATACCACGTTAGTACCGGGTATGTGTGTAAATGTGCATGATGACGTGTTTGCTGAGCAGGCACCGGGGTTTGTTGCAAATGACATTCTCTTCGTGAGGTGATGTGTTGAAGTTTTTTAATGATGTTAAAAGTCTGATAAGTCAAGGGGCTGTCGCCTCGCGTGTAGGCGGTTAGCGCTAAATTACTAATAGTATTGTCTAGTTTTAAATGTTGGAAATCTTTAGTTAAGGTGTGAGAAGGTTTGTGGAAGTTATAATTAAAATAAAAAAAAACATGGGGATTCTGGAATTCTTTTTTTTAGTTTCATAGTTGAGGAGTGTGTTTCTGTTATGTTTGAAAGCTTTGCTGATAGATTATGTGATTATTTTGAGTGGGTAATTCCTATTAAGAAAAGTTGATTGCAAAGTTGTCCTATGAGTAAGTTGTAATCTTCCTTGTGAGAAGAGATGCGTTGAATGCGTAAGCACTCTGGCTGTAGGTTATAGCTATTTTTTAGGTTGTTGGGATGACATCTATTGAAATTAAAGTAGCAATGACCATCAGTAGGCTTGGTGTATAGTGTGGTGGAAATGAAGTTTGGTTTGGTTTATTTTGTTTTACGGCATATCAACCTCAATGGGTTATTTAATGCCGACAACATTTTTAGGATAGATTCATATGAATAGAATATGTATTTTTGGTTTAGATTTTTGGTTTATTTTGTTTTACGGCATATCAACCTCAATGGGTTATTTAATGCCGACAACATTTTTAGGATAGATTCATATGAATAGAATATGTATTCTTTGGTTTAGATTGGTTTGGTTTATTTTGTTTTACGGCATATCAACCTCAATGGGTTATTTAATGCCGACAACATTTTTAGGATAGATTCATATGAATAGAATATGTATCATTTAGTTTAGATTGGTTTGGTTTATTTTGTTTTACGGCATATCAACCTCAATGGGTTATTTAATGCCGACAACATTTTTAGGATAGATTCATATGAATAGAATATGTATTCTTTGGTTTAGATTGGTTTGATTTATTTTGTTTTACGGCATATCAACCTCAATGGGTTATTTAATGCCGACAACATTTTTAGGATAGATTCATATGAATAGAATATGTATCATTTAGTTTAGATTGGTTTGGTTTATTTTGTTTTACGGCATATCAACCTAAATGGGTTATTTAATACCGACAACATTTTTAGGATAGATTCATATGAATAGAATATGTATTCTTTGGTTTAGATTGGTTTGATTTATTTTGTTTTACGGCATATCAACCTCAATGGGTTATTTAATGCCGACAACATTTTTAGGATAGATTCATATGAATAGAATATGTATCATTTAGTTTAGATTGGTTTGGTTTATTTTGTTTTACGGCATATCAACCTCAATGGGTTATTTAATGCCGACAACATTTTTAGGATAGATTCATATGAACAGAATATGTATTCGTTGGTTTAGATTGGTTTGGTTTATTTTGTTTTACGGCATATCAACCTCAATGGGTTATTTAATGCCGACAACATTTTTTATTGATGGTAATATTTTGTTTTGTCAAAAATCTGTTTTTGGTAATATTTTTCCTTCAAAGTTGTATTGCTGGTAATAATTTTTTTTAAAAAGTATTAAAGTAATAATTAACTATTTTCCCATAGCTGGTACTCTAAAAGGTGCTACCACGCCGGGTCTGGGGGGACCTGGGAACACCAGCAATTAAGAGGTGGTTCCACGCTCCTCAAAACCTCCTGATCAGATGCCTTGCTGCTGGACGTAGTTTATCGTCTTACCCAGGACGTGGTTGTAGTTTAACGTCTTCGTTGTTATTGAGACGTACCAGTGTGTCCAGAAATGGAATGAAAGTGGTAGAATATTCTCTATCTATTATTCCAACCTCTTCCCACAGGTGATGGTGATCTCACTGTTCCCTCCATACGTGGTCAGCTGCGCCTGATTTTTCTATTTCTAATTGTGTTACCGCTTTACGAAGTTCTTGTAGTCTTTAACGTGACGGCTTGTTTCTCCTTTGTATTTCTTACCACAACTGCATGGAATGGTGTACACACAGTCCTTAGTCATTTTCTTCTATATGGAGGGGGTTCTTAGTCGGAAGAGGTGTCTGCTAAGTGCTGAAACACTTTTGAAGATTGCCCTGAAGTTATATGGACCACGGATACTTTGTGCTTTCTCCGATAATCCCTTCACATAGGGTAGGCAGACTGAAGCTGTTTTCTGAGTGCTCTTATCCTCCGGTACCCGTCTATCCCAGTTCTATAACAGTCCGAATAATGTAGATAATGCAAGTAATCATAATACCTCATCTCAGAGATATAGACAGATATTGAAGGATCGGTATGATCAATGAAGATGTGGATAACAGTCCGAATAGTGTAAATAATATAAGTAATCATAATACCTCATCTCAGAGATATAGAGAGATATTGAATGATCGGTATGTGGCAATGAAGATGAAGTTAACAGTCCGAATAATGTAAATAATGCAAGTAATCATAATACCTCATCTCAGAGATATAGACAGATGTAGCCAATGTTTTTACCAAATCCCATAAGAGAGCTAAGAATATTCTGCACAATGAACTAATTTTGCATGGCGTAGGTTTCTTCTCGGTGGGTGCCACGTCCTCTGACATCTGATTAAAAGTGCACAGACGGATTGCATCACGGGAAAAATCTGACATTGTTTGGGGCAAATCCAGTTGGGTTCCTTGAATATTTCCTAATTAATCATGAATGTTGGGTTAGTCACCTTGAGCCAGAGACAGCGACAATGCATGCAGTGGAAACACCCCCCTCTTCACTGGTTCCAAAGAAGGTCAAGGCTGTTTCATCTGCAAGGAAGATGATGTCCTCAGGTTTTTGGTATGCAAAACGTATTGTGCTCATTGACTTTGTTCAAAAGGACTACACCATCAATGGAGAGTATTATGCTAACTTGTTGAGAATCTTACGAAAGTTTTTCAAGACTAAACGCACATGAAACGTGATCAATGATGTCTTTTTGTGTCAGGACAATACTCCAGCACACACGTTTTTCGTTTCAGTAGAGGTTGTGTGTGACTGTGGATTAGAACTGGTTGATAAACCCCCTATTCTCCTAATCTGACCCTATCTGACTATCACCTGGTCATTAATCTGAAAAAAAAAAAACTTGGCTGAGGACTTTACAGTGATGATGACGCCATATTTGCTGTTGATTAGTTATTTGTCAAAGCCTTTTCACCAATAGGATCGAAACACTGCAACACGAATGGAGGAAGTGTATGAACTGCAAGGGAAACGATATTGAAAGATAATGATCATATATTGAAAGATAAACGTCACTTGATCAGATTCCATGAGAGTATTTTGGTTAGTCTATGAACTTTTCAGCCGATACTCGGATTTCCTTTAAATTTTCCCATCTTTCAATTTATTTTATTCTATTTCAAATGTTCGTTTTTCGTTAAAAATTATTTCTTGATATCTTATTCACCATATTTAGTATTAGGTCTTTATTTTCTTTCCTTCTATTATAGGTTTCTTTTTCTTTTCATTTCTCTTTCTTTCTTTCTTTCTTATTTCTCTCTTTTTCTTTTTCATTTCTCTCTCTTTCTTTTCATTTCTTTCTTTCTATTCATTTCTCTCTCTTTCATTTCATTTCTCATTTTTCCTTTCTCTCTCTCGTTCTTTTCATTTCTCTTTCTTTCTTTTCATTTCTTTCTTTCTTTTTCTTTCTTTCTTTCTTTTCATTTCTCCTTCTTTCTTTTCTATTCTTTTCTCTCTCTCTTTTCATTTTTCTTTCTTTCCTTTCTTTTCATTTCTCTCTCTTTTCATTTCTATCTCTTTTTTCATATCTCTCTCTTTCCTTTCATTTCTCTCTTTCTTTTCATTTCTCTTTCTTTATTTTCATTTCTCTTTCTTTTCATTTCTCCTTCTATTTTTTCTTTTCTTTTATCTCTCTATTCATTTCTCTTTCTTTCTTTTCATTTCCCTTTCTTTCCTTTCATTTCTCTCTCTTTTTTAATGTCTCTCTCTTTCTTTTCATTTCTTTTTCTTTCTTTACATTTGTCTCTGTTACTTTTCATTTCTCTTTCTTTCTTTTCTTTTCATTTCTCGCTCTTTTCATTTCCCTTTCTTTCTTTTCATTTCTTTCTTTTTCATTTCTTTCTTTTTCATTTCTCTTTCTTTCTTTCTTTTCATTTCTCGTTCTTTTCATTTTTCTCTTTCTTTTCATTTCTCTTTCTTTCTTTTCATTTCTCTCTCTTTTCATTTCTCTCTTTCTTTTCATTTCTTTTCTCACTCTTTTCATCTCTCTTACTTTCTGTATATTAATCTCTCTTTCATTTCTCTTTCTTTTCTTTTCATTTCTTTCTCTTTTCATTTCTCTTTTTTCATCTCTCTTTCTTTTCATTTCTCTTTCTTTCTTTTCATTTCTCTTTCTTTTCATTTTACTTTCTTTTCTTTTCTCTCTCTATTCATTTCTCTTTCTTTCTTTTCATTTTTCTCTGTTTATTTTCATTTCGCTTTCTTTTCTTTCCATTTCTCTCAATTTTCTTTTCTTTTCTCTCTCTTTCTTTTTATTTCTTTTTAATTCTTTTTCTTTTCATTTTTCTCTCTTTTCATTTATCTTTCTTTCTTTTCATTTCTTTTTCTTTCTTTTTATTTCTCTTTCTTTCTTTTCATTTCTTTTTCTTTCTTTTCTTTTTGTTTCTCTTTCTTTCTTTTCATTTCTCTTTCTTTCTTTTCATTTCTTTTTCTTTCTTTTCTTTTCGTTTCTCTTTCTTTCTTTTCATTTCTTTTTCTTTCTTTTCTTTTCATTTCTCTTTCTTTTTTATTTCTCTATCTTTCTTTTCATTTCTTTTTCTTTCTTTTCTTATCATTTCTCTTTTTCTTTTCCTTTCTTTCTTTTCTTTTCATTTCTTTTTTTCTTTTCCTTTCTCTCTCTTTCTTTTCATTTCTCTTTCTTTTCTTTTCTCTCTCTTTTCATTGCTCTTCCTTTCTTTTCATTTCTCTCCCTTTTCATTGCTCTTCCTTTCTTTTCATTTCTCTTTCTTCCTTTTTCTTTCTCTCTTTCTTTTCATTTGTTGTTCTTTCTTTTCATTTTTCTCTCATTCATTTCATTTCTTTTTTTCATTTCTCTCTCTTTCTTTTCATTTTTCTGTCTTTTTGTTTTCATTTCTCTTTCTTTTCATTTCTCTTTCTTTCTTTTTATTTCTCTTTCTAATCTTTTTCTTTTCAGCTGCTGTTACTATTTCATTCATTTTCAGTTTTCTCGTTCTCTTTAACTTTGCTAGTTTTTTCTTTCATATTTTTATTTTTTTAGTTTTTTTTATTTGTTTCGACTTTTTATATATTTCTTTATCTTTAGGTTTCTCTTTCTTTCTTTCGTTCGTTTTTTAGGTTTCTTTTTCTTCCATACTTTTCAATCGTTTTGCTTTCGTTTTTCTTTTTCATTCATTTTTTCTTTCCTCCTTCATTCCTTTTTCTCTATTATATTTCTTTCTTTCTTCGTTTTTATTCTTCTTTTTTCGTTTTCGTTTTGTTTCTATTTTTCGTATTTAGTTTTTTTCTTCTATGTGACATTTTTTAGTCTTCCATTAATTCAATTTTATTTTTCTTTCTTTTTTCTTCTTCTTTTATTTCTCTCTCTTACTTTTTCTTTAACTCTCTTTCCATTCTTCGGTATATTTTTTTCTTTAAAACCTTCATTTTTTTCTTCTTATTTATCTTAGGTTTCTTTCGTTTTTTTTCTATCGTGTCCTTTTTCTTTCTTTCTTTCTTTCTTTCTTTCTTTCTTTTGTACGTCTTTCTTTCCTACTTTCTTCTTTCTTTTTCCTCGTGTTCTTTGTATTTTTTCCGTTTTATTTTCATCTTACTTTTTTCTCGTGTTCTTTGTCTCTCTTTCCTTCTTTCGCCTTTACTTTTTTTCTCGTGTTCTTTGTATTTCTTTCTTTTGTTATTCTTTTTTCTCTAGTGTTCTTTGCTTTTCTTTCTTTCTTTCTTTCTTTCTTTCGTCTTTTCTTTTCTTTCTGTCTCTCTATTTTCTCATGTTTTCACTCACTTTCTTTTTTCGGGTTCTTTTTCTTTCTTTCTTTCTTTCTTTCCTAATTTCTTCTTTCTTTTTCTCGTGTTCTTTGTATTTCTTTCCTTCTTTCGCCTTTCCTTTTTTTCTCGTGTTCTTTGTCTTTCTTTCTTTCTTTCTTTCTTTCGTTTATCTTTTTTTTCTCGTGCTCTTTGTCTTAAAGTAAAATATTGAAAAATGAGTTTTATATTTTAAACAAAATATTAGACCTGTTTCCGAAAATGTGTCTCTATTTGTAAGAGCCATTCTTATTCATTTTCTATTACATATAACTCTGGTTTGAAAGAGAAAAAAAATTAAATCCTGTCTTAGAAAATATTTGAAAAAAAATCAATCTTTGAATACGATGTCTTTTGTTTTTTTACCGTTATGATATAACCGATAATATGATCACTCTAGAATGATAAAATAAATCATAAATAAAGTAAAAAAAAGTAAATACCGTCACTGATTATATAGCAACGATAACCGTACGGTCGCTTGAGATATATGTAATTTTGTTATTTCCTGTGAAGATTTACTGTTATCCCAATATATTGCTGAACTCTGAGAATTAAAAAAAAATGTGCGTAGCAAATTTAGACTGAATTTTCAGAACAATTTACAGAACAATTTTTCTGTCACTCTACGAGAGAGAGAGAGAGGGAGAGAGAGAGAGAGAGAGGGAGGAGAAGGAGAGGAGGAGAGAGAAACAGCGACAGACAGAAATTCCGGTATTTAAGAGACTAGCCTTTGATAATAAGTTCTTTACAGCCGACGACAAGTTAAATTCTCCTTTTGTTTTCATTCAGGGCTCGTCAATAATGAAAGAGGCTGAGTCGAATTCTTTTCTTTGTTAAGCAAATAAAAATGGCGCGGCTGAATTGGTAGTTTTCACAGCTTGAAACAATATGGGGTGTGGTGGCCTTGCGGTGAAGGTGTCTGCGAGTGAAGACAGTTGAAAAGACATTTGTATGAAATAGCAGTCATTGATGATATTCTAAACAATTTTTTTATGAAAAGTAAGGAGCTCCCAATTTGAAACCACAGAAACGTATTCACACGAACACTGATAAAATAAGATTGCTAGGAGAATGATAAAGATCATAAAAAACAAAGAAAATACGCGCAAATCTATCAAAATTTGTCATTAATGCCACGCATATGAGGAGGTAATTTTAGAATCACAAATGCATACATGTGGCAGACGTGATGAGACAGAACCTGGGACGAGCACAACTGGTTGTGACTTGCCTTGTTCCCGCCAAAAAAGAGCCCGTATTTGCTTAGCATGTAAAGCTACTGCAGTTGAAACGAGGGAGAAAAAAGCACTTACCGCTCTGTCGTAATCCGCCCTCGGCCAGATGACGTAAAAGAATGAGGGGGGACTTGCATTGCATTTTTATGCAATAAAGATGCAATGCATTATGGGACAGGGACGCAATGAATTATGGGATCGCATGAAGACGCAAGGGATTATGGGTATATGGATAAATATAAAAGCAACTAATTTTTCCCAGTGCGGGGTGCTTGGAGTGACGTTCACGGTTGGCGGCTAGAAAAATGTTTTAGTGCGATTTTGAGACAGAACTCAAGAACGAACGACGCGAGGTTCGAATACCAGTTGGGAGAGCTTGAATTCACCCGCTGGTCGCTGTTTTCTTTTTATTCGCCACAATACACTATCGAGATCAGCTGCCATCAAGACGTCGAGTACGAGATCTGACGTAAAAGTATCGGGGCTCTTGCTATCATAACAGCGATACAGTACGCAGAGTAAAGCTGCATAGAACAGAATGATATTGAACACTGTTGTGCATACACACTAAGAACATTCTCGCACTTTTCCTTTGTTTATAGTAGTGCTTGGAAGGAAAATGTGTAGAGTGTGGTCGCCTCGCCACCTCATAGAAATTCCATCAGTTAAAATGGCTTGTGCAGCAGTTTTTGGCCAAGACAAAATTCCTCATCTCCGTTCCTTGCATTCGAAAGTAACAAGATTTCAAGACGTTGTGGAAATCCAAGAAAATGCGACAAGGCAGCTGCTCGCTATTTCAAAAAAGAAGGTCTAGGAAGGATTCCGTCTATGGATACGACGCTGGATAAAGTGTATAGTTTAGGAAGGGGTCTACTTCGAAGGAGATTGAATGCTGAATTGATATGTGTTGTAGTTTTCTTTTAACAGCACCAGTTCTGATCCATTTTGATCAGCCCTCGTATATCCATTGCAAGATATCATGGCAAAACTTAATTGTAAAGATGCCAAGCCATGCATGTGCAGGAATTTTTTTAAATAGATAAAGGCGTTGCACTGGATGATGAATCCCCCTCTCTAAGGAAGTAAAGCGTGTAGCCCCAAAAGAAGAAACACTCAACATCATTAGATGCTGCCAAACCGCAGGTGTTATTTCCAGTTGGCTAAGGCGCTTAAGAAAGCCAGTGGGCATACAGCGTTCGTGGATGCCAACTCATGTATTCCTAAATCCCCATGTATGATAATCCGTCCGCTCTTTGACAGTTTTTGTCTTTAATCTTGCTGCGTACATAGCCAGCCTACACACAAGAAAAGTCTGGTGGGGGCACTTGTTTATTCACCGTTGCGCCGATCATGTAACAGGCAATACTTAGTTGCATAAAAACAGTAGCCCTCATAGAGTGACCGCATTATAAACATATATGTACAAATCCACAAACACACACACACGTACGTAGATAGATAGATAGATAGATAGATATGAATAAACTGAAATATGAACAGATTGAGACAACTCAGAAGAGAGATATTAAGATATTAGGATAGATAGATAGATATGAACTGACATAGATAGATAGATAGATAGAAAGAGGATGAGATAGATAGATAGATAGATAGATAGATAGATAGATAGACACAAAGAGGATGAATTAGATAGATAGATAGATAGATAGATAGATAGATAGATAGATAGATAGATAGATATGAAAATCGATACTGCATAGTGGCCGTCAGTTTCTCGCGTTAAGCAATCTTCAAACCATGTGTCACTCTGAATCGCGGAAAGACAGTCATCATGCAATTCTGATTCCTATATCCACACGTACTCAGATAGTAAAATATTACGTGACTTCTTTCTTAGGCAGAGGCTATCTCTCTGCTAGGTCTACTGAGCAAGATGTCTTGTGGCATGATATTTTCACCACTCTATTTTCCAAGACAAAATGGAAGAATAGATTGCTTCTATGCACGATAAGCGGAATGAGAACAAATCTACTTCATAGATTGAATAAAGTGTTTAGCTCAGATTTGCAAGTAAGTTACCAAGTACGAGATTCATCTAAAGAGGTTTGGGGCACACAACAACCAAAACGTTGTTAGTATAAAAACGGAAGAGAAAAGCGTATAATAAGAGAAAGCCATAATTAAATATATATATATATATAATATTTGCTATTAAAGTCTTCATGATCTTGTACATACATCGTTCCCTCTTTATGTGGTATGTCTCTTCATAACTCAGTGCACATGGTTCTCCACATCTTCACGTCTTTTCTAGCTCTCAGCAATTAGCCGTTCCTTTATCTTCTTTGCGGTTCCTCTTTTGTTCTATTTTTTAATAATTTCAACAAAAGCAAGGCTAGAAAGCCACTGAGACGGAAGGTCTTACTGAGAGTAGAAAAAAACCCCGAAAAACACGTTATTAAAGCAAAAGGGCAATAAAGAAATAGGATTTAAGGAGACAGAATATGATGATTGACAGTTTGAAACTTGTGGATAATAGGAAAGCATGTTGGTGGAAGAGAGTTCCACAGGTGAAAAGTGCGAGAGAAGAAACTGTTAGAATAGAACTTAAGTATTCATAAAGCCTTGAACAATCTGTTCCTCAGAACTATTAAATTCAAATATGAGTTCATATGTTGCCTATACATTTTCTAATCAGCTAATTTGACTTTTATTTTATAATGGTAACTGTCATATCAGTGAAACAGTTACTGGCTTAGACGGGAATAGAACGTTCCGGCGTAGCCCATTTGGCGTCGCTGACTCGGCCTGACCGATTCGGCGTAGCCGATTCGACATAGGAATTATTCGGCAAGGGGACGATTAGGCGTCAGATTACTACTTCGTCGTTATAGTCAAATTTGCTCTCTCTCTCTCTCTTTCTCTCTCTCTCTCTTAGTCTCTCTTAGTGGTCAAATTAGTACTTCGTCGTTAGAGTCAAATTCCCTCTCTCTCTCTCTCTCTCTCTCTCTCTCTTTTAGTAGTCAAATTAGTACTTCATCGTTATATGCTCGAATAGTCCCATTTAAGAAAAGTCGTGATGCAGAATAATTATTTACCCACTGCCCCACGCGGCAAGATGTGGCACAAGGCCTAGTTTTAAATTGGGGTATCCGAACCCGTTGGCTCGGGCAAAAATTCCCTATAAACCACGTAAAAACGGAGTCAGTTCCCCGAGACGAGACTCTACCCCTTATTGTTCTACTCTTTTATACAGCTATGGCTTGAGAGTCCATTCTACCCTGCCGTTTAACTCATAGCGGGTTGAAAAGTGATCGAGTACGCCTTTTCCAACGGTATTACTGCGCAAGCGAATATAATGAAATCAGCCGAAATTCGAACTTGGCTCGCTGTTTTCGCTTTTCTTCAGTATAAACGGCCGATGGCCAGATCAAGCTGCGTCGACCGGACGGTAAACACAAGTAATACAAGTATGACTGATTTTTACGAGGCAATTCCTGTGTGATCGGCTCTAGACGAGAGGGATACGTTTTGCGCTTTGATGAAGGGCTGGCTTTTGATTGGAATGCCAACATCGTAACCGGAGATGTGACAACATTCATTACATCTACTAATGCGAATTGAATAAGTGCGGACTGAGGTACACGCAGAGGGGCGCTTATTGATTGGTGAAGTAAGGATGACAGCTAGCCACTAATAGAAGGGTTTGCTTTATATGTTTTGGTGTCAAATTATACGAATGAGTTCACAATGCAAATCTGTCCGTAATTCTCATATTTCCTCTACTCTGAAAGTAAACCAAGCATAAAAATTGTAAACACCATTTTTCCATTGGCAGTAAACTTTAAGCAGTAACATTATATAGCGATATTTGCATAATAAACTTTTATAGCAATATTTATAAAATAAAATTACATAGTAAATTTTACATTATAAATTTTCCTATTTGCACTATTTACATTGTCCGG